GGACTCTTATATATACTAATAAGAAGCCGTACATTACAAGAAAATAAAAATTATTGAATAAAAATCGAATATGAATTAGATGAGAGTGACAATTTATAGAGAAAATATCGAGAAGAAAGAAACTTACAACAAAAGAAAAGAAAATGTTTAAAATGGATTTTTATTGCTTTGAGCTAAACAAGGAAAACAAATATGCGTAAAAAAAAAGAAAATAAATATTCCTATTTTGTTTTGAATTCCCTAAATTTATGGCATTATTAATTATTCTTAATGCATTCAAATTAATGACATATCCATTTTTTTTATTATTTTGAAAAATATATTTTTTATTATTATTTTAAAATACTTTTTCAATAAAATTTAGGAAAAACTACATAATATGGCAAATTTTAATATATACTTAAATAATATAACTATAGTTTAATTTTTTTATGTTATATGACTATAACTATACAATAAATAACAAATTTAATTGTATATCAATAATCAATTTTTCTTATGTTTAATATAAATAAATAATAAATAGGAAAATTATTATTAAACTCATAATTGATTATGTATTCATACATTTTCTTTCATCAATATCATTATATTACAGATTTTTTTTTGTATTTTCCCCTCAATTCCTTCCAATTCAAAATCCTTTTGTATGATTGTAAGAGTGATTTTTGTGGTTCAATTCATTATGCTTATATTTGTGGTTCAATTATATGTCAAATATATATATTTAATAATATTTATATACATAGATAATTGTATTGTACTATTAATAAAACAGTGGTTTGTGAATACAAATATATTTGTATACATAAGTAATTTATTCAATTTGATTAGGCAATACAAGTATAGTTGGATACATCAATACTATACTTTTATAAATAAATAACTAAGTTAACGTCAAGCCTCAAGTATTATAGAGAACTTCACAATAAATAAATCAGCGTTTTGTTATTTTTTTTGATTTTTTATATAGTCGAGTACTTACACGCTTTGATACATACACATTCTATTATTTTTCCATTTTCTTATTCAACAACAGTGTACTCATATTATAGTATATTGGTATATTCATTTTTTTGGTTAATAATAGTGTATCCATTTTTCAAATTGTTGTATTCATTTGCTAAAATTGTACTACTTTACCTTGTATGATGTATTAATACATTAAATTTTTTACAAATACTTGTATCCTTGACATATTAATACTTTAAGTTTTATAAATAGAAACACTAATTTGAATTCAAAGTATTCATATGATAATTGTACAAGTAATACATTTTCCTTATTTAGTTATTGTAATTACAACTGTATTAGTGTATAAATAATAAAAAGATAAAAAAACATATGCAAAAATGCAATGAGAAAAAACATGAATAAACTTTTATATTCAAAATTTTATGAATACCTTTATGATTAGTATTTAGTGAATATATTGTATTTAGGAATATAAATACAACATTCTGTGTTAAATACAACCTTTTGTAATATGTGAATCAATCATATTTGCATACAATATGTAATTATTAGTTGATAATTTGATAATGTAAATTTCAGTTATTTAGGAACATAATAAATGGTTGGTACTTGGAAGTTATGGTAGCATATCATACCTTATTTAGTAAATTGTATAAATAATAATAATAACAATAAAATAAAATAAAATTTAATACAAACATACAGCTAAAAATTGACATAAAGTGTAGTCATTTCTAGTAAATAACATATTTATAACTATTGAACTTCAATAATCCTATAAATATAGTCAATTTTATGAGTTGCTCTAAAATTTACGGCCTAAATTTTTTTAGGGAAAATTGTATATAATAGCAAACTAATAACCTAAAATAAATGGAATAGCTAGGGTTTGATTTAATTGTGCTCCATAGAAAACGTTAGCTAAAATTTGCCAGCGTCTCTCTCCCAGAAATCTCGCTCATCACTCTCCATTCTCGCTCGCCTCTCTCGCTTTATACACAGAAGTGTATAATTTTGTTTATGTTTTGTATAAAGCGAGAGAAAAATGTATATACACATGCAAAAATATATATCTTCGTGTTATACACTTAATTATATAATTTACAAACATTTTACTTCAAATATTGCAGGAAAAAGGCCAATGAATTATACAATTGCGAATTATACAATTGCAGTGAAATACAATTTTCTCTAGCTTTATACAACAGAAGTGTATATATTGTGTTTTCGTTTTTGTATAAAGCGAGAGAAGAACATATATCTTCTTGCTATACACTTATAATTATGCAATATACATACATTTTAATTCGATTCAACTGTATGCAAAGCAAATTTTATAAAAAAATTGCAGCGAAATAGGCAGCGAATTATAAAATTGTGCATTATACAATCGCAGTGAAATAGGATAGCGAATTATACAATTGCAGTGAAATAGGCCAGCGAACTATACAATTTAGGCCAGCGAATTATACAATTTTGGTCAGCGAATTATACAGTTGTATATGCATAGCGAATTATACAGTTTTATGTTTGCTATGGAGCGCAATTATGCAAACTTTTCTATAACATACTAATATGAATTTTTTGTTTGCTATATGTGAAAATTGCCCAATTTTTTATTGTTACAACTTGAAAGTCCCCAAATTCGCAGGCCTGATCCGTGGAGTGGGCTTCAGCCCAGTAATTTGTGAGTAGCCTA